AATGTCAATATCTCTACTGTTATTATAAATATATCGTAAATATATTTTATAATATAAGGTCGAGTCAAGATCTATAGGGTGTCTCATATATAATAACAGCTTTAGTTGTTTAGGCTGATGGAGCAGATTAAACTAATGAAGTTTACTATCGTTTTTGCAAACTTCATAATAAGTTAATAAGTTATTAATTTTTAAAAATCGCTGAATAAGCGCGAATCCACCCGGTTTGCTGCGCCAAGTGCATGTTCATCGGATTCCAGCAAACGAGAATGGATTAAAATGGATTGAAATTTTTTTCTATCCAAATGCGTATTTTAAATAGCGGATACTTTTTTTTGATTTAATTGGATTCAGTTTGATTCTATTAGATTCAATTGGATGCAATTGGATTGAAAACTGCATTTCCTATTCAAAATTTTAAATTGAACAGTATTCACAATTATGTGCACAGAAAAAGCTAATATTATTTTTAGATTGAAAAGCATAGAGTATGCTCCATGCAATTCCTATAAATGAATAAAAATGCATTCAGGATTGAAAAACATTCATTTTAACATTTGTGAATCAATATTTCTGAAAATCTGAATCCATTTCAATTCATTTCGCGCTCGCTGTTATATTGGTGTATTCTTTTAAATCTGGAATACAAAAAACCTTATTATTAAGTCCAATGTCCATGATGCTAGAAATCGGTCTGAGATCTTGGACAGAGAAAGAATTAACAAATCATATTTAAACAATTTGATCACATGATTATTGCGATTGATTAATTCTTTCTTCATCCGGACCGATTTCTAGCATCGTGGATATAAGGTTTAAAAGAACGTTCTTCGAAAAAATCAATCATTTTGTTTTAGATTTTTCTAACTTATAGAAAAAGCTTGTTTTAGTTTCCTGAACTCAAAACTTAATATTCGGAACGGGATTAAAAATCGAGATATTCCACTTCAAAATTGAAGCGTTGACATAGGATCCCTATTTAAAGCTGATTCAAAAGTGGTCTTTTTATTGTAAAAAAAAAGTTTTCTTAACAATTTTTTGAAACAATGAGACATAAAACTTGATTTCGTAAGATATCAAAATATATGAAATTTGTTCATATGAACATGACTTCCGGTATTCGTTTTTAAGAAATCATTTTTGCAAAGTAAATAGCAAGTAAGTAGCAAAGTAGGTAGCAAAGTAAGTAAAGTCGCTATTTTTTCGATCGGCGGCAGTAGCGGGAAGCATTTTATATTGTATAAAAAAACTTATATAAAAACATTAACACTTATGGAATATCTTATACTCAAGACTCGATAAAATAATCGATACGACTTATTTGAAATAAAAAATATAAAATAGGTTCCAAGAACTTATTTAAAATATTAAGTAAGAAATAGGTCACAAGAAATTATTTAAAATATAAAAAGAAGAAGAAATAGAACCCGAAAATACATTAATTTATTTAAAATATAGAATAACTTTTATTTAAAATAGAAAAATAACTTTTCTTTTAAATAAGTTTTTGAAAGCAATTTCTTATTTTAAGTGAAAAATTCTTTCTTCTAATTGGTTCATCAAACATTTCAAAGCATTTGTTGTGAGACTTTGACCACAGCTTAGGCTTTTTCATGCTGACGCTCATTTTCAGCGTCAAAACAAGTCACATGACCAAAATTCACGTGGTCAAAATTGACGAATATCAATTTTACATGATCTGTTTTGATATTCGAATCAAGCGTTCCTTTCTACGCTCCTCAGAGAGGACGTTTTTAAACGTAGTCACAATTATGTAATTACTGTGACATAGCCTTAAGACAGTCTTGAAATAAGGAACGGATTATGAATATCACCCTAAATAATGGTAATTGCAATCGGTCGGTAAGTTTCCTCGTTGGATAACAACAAATTTACCTACAGCCACAATGATTCCATAACATTCGCGCGACACTGTCATCAGGGCCAATGGGATCAACGCGATGTGAGATCCACTACGTGGTACCATTGTGTCACGCTCCTGTCCAACGTTATCACGGGGAGGCGACACCGGGGTGTCGCGGTCGCGCGTGGTCCCCGATCCCTTCGCGAAGACGCTGTCAGCAGCGAGAATGACGTCCCGTCACGAAAAGGAGCGTGCCAAGCAGATCCAGGAGAAATGTCAAAATCTGCTGACGCAGATGCTTCGCGACGAGGATAACAAGTATTGCGTCGACTGCGACGCGAAAGGTTTGTTTCTCGATTCCGACATGAATGCGCCGTTCATCTGCTTCCCTTTCGGGAAGTCGTCTTCGATAAATCCTTCGTGCGTTCTTTACTTTGTGCCGTCCAAATGCGCTCGTTCCTAGATTCGACTCGTCGATATCGATCATGAAACGACCTAAGCAACATCATATTCTGTATAATGCGCTGAGATGTTATGGATTTTTAACTTCTGCATGACATACCTATCAGCGCGCTGTCATTCGATAACATCGTCAAGGTTCTTCCAAATTTCATATTCATTTCACTTATCATTTTGAAAATTAAAATACGAGCTCATTTGTATGTCTTTCTTCTTTTAAGGATTCATAAAAAAAAAATTTTTTATTATATGACTTGATATATCATCGAATGTTGAGAACTTTAATAATCATGAATATTAGATAGCTCAACGAAGCATTTTTATTGATAGGTTTTATCATTGTATTTGCGTCGAGTTTAAGCGGAGTCTCTATGTTTGAGAGATAAGAATTATTTATATTTTCAATGAAATTGTATTTTGCAGGACCAAGATGGGCTAGTTGGAATTTGGGAATTTTCTTGTGTATTCGATGTGCTGGTATTCATAGAAATCTTGGAGTACATATAAGTAAAGTCAAGTCTGTTAATTTAGATACATGGACGCCGGAACAAGTTGTGGTATGTAACAGACATATGATTCATAGTTTTTTAACAAAGGATGATTTTGTTTATTTGTTAAACTTTCATATCAAAACAATTAAAAATGTATACTATATTAATTCTTCAATTCTGAAATAAATTAATTTTTTACAAAGAAATGGATGTAAATAATTTTTAATATTTGCTTTTCTATGGAAAAATTTTACTTTTTTATTTTTATAATTTTTTTATATCACATCTTCACCACAAGATTATTTTTCTTATAAGCTTCATATTTGAATATTTTCTTTAGGCTTTATATACATTTTTTTAAATCCAATTATATGAATCTTGTTAAAATTTCTAGAGTTTACAACAAATGGGCAATTCTCGAGCTAGAGCAGTCTATGAAGCCAATCTTCCAGATAGTTTTCGAAGACCTCAAACGGATTGTAGTCTGGAAAGTTTTATTCGGGCAAAATATGAACATAAGAAATATATAGCTAGAGAATGGGTGCCACCTCCTTTACCAAAAGTATGTGATTATTCTAATTTAATATTTGTCTTATAACACCAGACATGGCCCCTTCCAACTTTACTGACTTTTATGTGTATAATAGTTCAATAAATTTATCAAGTTTAACGTCAAATTTATATAGTGATAATGTAAAATTTTTTAACACGCTTTTCTCTTATAAAATTTATCTAAGTAGAGAGAAGCTACATTTAGTGTTCCTTCCAACACCAGACATTTCTTCAAATTGGCTGAATTGTATATATAATAATATATAATAGTTGCTGAAATTATGGAACATCCTTTTTAAGTATTCATGAGAAAAATACGTTAAAAAATTTTACATTTCTATAATTTTACATTTCTATAAGAAAATTTTGTAATGAAAATTGAAAATTTGAAAAAATTGAAATTGAAAATTTTTCTCATTAAATGCTTGAGAAACGCATTCTATAATTTTAGAATGAAATAGTGGGAAGGCTAAATCATATCTGGTTAATATTCCTCTTATTAATATATAATCTTATATATAAAAAAAAATTATATATATA